CATCTGGCCATGCCAGGCGCTGTAAATAAATAAATTAAAATCTGTTTTAGGAGTAAGTCAGAAAAAAAAATCTAGTATACATAATGTGAAGCTCTAATGAAGAAATTATTTGAAAAAAAAAAAAACTACTTTTGGGTAAAATAAACATTTTGAGTCATTTTAACCAAAACATTTACGAGCAAAGTTTTTAAATACATTGAGTAATAATTTTGCTTTGATGGAAATTTCGGTTTATTATATTTTGTTCATTCAGACACAACAGAAACATTCGACGTTGAAATTTATTTTTATACTTGAATTAAGAGGCACGGGTGTTTTTTTACACGGTTTAATCTACATATCTCTGTATATACTTGGCATTCGTGAAGACCTACGTATTGAAATAGTAATGAAATACGCAGTTTTTCTTCTATATTATTCCTATTTTATAAAGTATGAGATATTATAGATATAATTATTTTGATTAAAAAAACAGTCCAATCAACTTTTAAAAAGTAGCCTCAAAGAAGTATTATGTGTAAACCCGAAACCTATAGGAATCCCCAGAGTACTTCCCAGTCAACCAAATAGAAAATGGAACCTAACTGACTGTGTTATTTGCTATGGTTTTATTACAATTTGGAACGCTCTAATTGGTGCGCATCTTCGTACGTCATTTGTCGGTGTACATCAAAGAGAAAGTTTTCTGTCTCTTGGTGAAAGAACGAACGTAATGACGTCTACAAAGTCTTAGTAATTATCCACTCTATCATGTAGAATGTAGAGGGATTGGAGCGGTATTCGTGTAGAGAGCTGGAAACACCAAACGCCATGATTTTTGTACGCATCTTGACAATATGCTTACATGAAAGATATTTTATTTGATAAATTTTTGGGCAAAGCTAAGTTACACTGAAGTTTATGTTCTCGGTGTAATTTATATGGACTTGTGGACTTTTAAGGGTATTTATTTTAGTACTTCATCAATTGACTAAGGTCAAAAGTTTTCTGGATGGTTTACCTCAAATATCCAACATTACTCAATAATTCTACAAGTTCAATTCTAAGTTGTGTTTTGTTTATATTTTTTTATTACTAGGAGAGGTTACTTTATTTATTATTACTTATAATTACTTTATTATTTATTTTTCCATTGCTCGAGACAATACAAACTGATGTTAACGTACTTGTAAGTTTTTATTTTGCTACTTCAGCTACTGCCATCTGTTGATAAATTGCGAAAAATATGCCGAAGTTTAAGATACTGTAGTTACTTTCAGTAACAACAAAAATTACATAATCTGTGCATTAGGATTGGTGTTATTGGAAAGTTTCATGTTAAACAAACAAACAAACAAACAAACAAAAAATTAGAAAAATAATGAA